CCTGCTTACCTGCAACACATGTGCCCACCAAACATGGGAGTAATTGGAAAGGTCACGTATTGGGTTGTGTATGAGCTCCAACCAATCCTGGAAAATGAGTGACCCGTTTGCCGGCTCTGGAGGCCCTAGCGGGGGGAGAATTGGGGAACCAGGTTTCACAACCTCGTTGTCGCCCTTATCCATGGTGAGCTGGGCCTGGAGGCCCTGCAGCTGCAACACTCCCGCAGTGAGCGCTGCTAGCAACGGCTGCTGCGCTGGAAACCCTGATGGAGCAACCTGAGAACCTGTGTGGCCTGCGACCACTCCTCCTGGAATGAGCTGCACGTGTGAACCTAACGCACGCGCGACCCTTCCGGGCGCAGGCGGCGCGTGCTGTGAACATGGCTGCTGCACCCCCGCCCCCTTCACTGACTGCGGAGTCCAAACCCCCTCAACACCGGAAAACGTAGTCTGAACATTCATACCAGTCACCAAATCTGACAACAAGTCTGACTCAGCCAAACCCCTTAAGCAAGGATTGGGGGTTTGGGCCTGCGGTGGAAGTGGCATTGAGCCTGTAAAAGATGGAACCTGCGGTTCCTGCAAAGCGTTGGTTGCCCCAACGGGCACGCTTGGCGCAGATTGACTGGCACCTGGGAGTCCTGCCAGCTCGGCGGCTGGATTGGGACCTTGGCCCTGCGCACCTTGCGCCTGTGCACCTGGGAGTCCTGCCAGCATGGCTGCTGGATTGGGACCTTGGACCTGGGCACCTTGCACCTGTGCACCTGGCCTTCCGGCCGGCGTTGCACTGCACACATTTGCACACACGGCTGGTGAGTCGGCACGACTCGGTGCCACAACAGTGGCATGCTCTGGAAGGCCATCCCTCCCGGGAAGCGATGCAATCGGCACTTCGGCTTGCGCCCCTCCTAAACTATCTTGAAGCGGGCAACCCTCACTAGGACTAACCCCCGTACCAACCAAAGGCCACACTCCTCTGGACAACCCTTGGTCACTGCACGCATGGTTCGCTTCCATGCCAAACCTTGGCGAAAGCAGATTTGTACTGACACTCGGTGCCTCATCATCATGCCTTGCCGTCAACACTCTTGCAAAACTCCTCCATGTCTCTGACAGTCTGGGCCATCCACTCCCAAACTCTGGAAAAAACGACTTCGCATCCGGTGCGCCTAGGCCTCGGGGTCCTAGGCTTCCGCCCGGGGTTTTCTGTTCAGCAACAGGTGGATCCTGTTCCCCACCTTGCTTGTTCGGCGAATGGGCGTTGTGCTCTGCATCCCCACGTGCCCTTCCCGTAGCCAGTGAATGTCGGATTGCGTCCCCACCGTCCAAAACTGACCCAGATGATCCAGCTTCCAAACCAGAAGGGGCACCAATCCCAAACGTAGTTTGTGGCCCATCAGTCTCAGCGCCTCCCGCTGAAACTGATGAAGTCACTCCGGTGGTGCTGTTGCCCTGCCCAAGCGTTGGGCTCATAACCTGCTGGTGTGAACCAGCAGGCTGAGCAGAGGCTAGCAGTGGAATAGACGTCATATCCCCGCAAGACTCTCCCAACACATCCATGGCTCACACAATGCGGAGGTTTTACACGCAGCAAAAGATCCTGTACTACTTGGTTGGTAAGGCTACAGCACCTACAGTAGAACTATACATACTTAAAAGACATGCTCAAGGCTGACTGTGCTTTGGGCCTACGAGCGTCAGGAGAACAACAAGATATGCTATGGCCAAACATGTACAGGTACTGCAATTCAACAGTTAGGGTTTAGGGTTTAGGGTTTGGGGTTTAGGGTTTAGGGTTTAGGGTTTAGGGCTTAGGGCTTAGGGCTTAGGGTTTGGGGTTTAGGGTTTAGGGTTTAGGGTTTAGGTTTAGGGCTTAGGGCTTAGGGCTTAGGGTTTAGGGTTTGTGGGGGGGTGGGGGGGGGGGGGGGTGGGTGGGGGGGTGGGGGGGGGGGGGATATCATGGGGGGGGGGGTGGGGGGGGGGGGGTACCGACACGGGACACGGAACCATATATATAGATTGTCTTTTGGTTTTTTGGTGTTCTTAGGCAAATAGGAGATTATGGTCCTTTCTTGCGGGTCCCTTGCTATCTGGGGGCCCCGAGGTACATGTAGGAGAGTCACCAGTCCGCGAAGGGCCCACAATTTAGTGATGTGCCTTGCAACAGAGCATGGCCTGGAGTAGGGTGTAGGGTTTAGGGTTTAGGGTTTAGTTTAGGGTTTTGGGTTTTGGGTTTAGGGTTTAGGGTTTAGGGTTTATAGGGTCTTGAGGACGGTATCCCACTGCAAGACCGGGGAGCTGTACTACCTGGACCGACGAAGGGGCGCTGTCCGAGTGCTGGAAAAATCCCGGGCAACCATGTAGGGTTTGGGGTTTGGGGTTTGGCTTCAGGAGTGTTTGGGTAGTTTGGGGTTTGGGCATTTTGATGATGATGTCGGCAACTGTTTAGGGTGGAGACCGCGACGTAGGCAGCAGGTTAAATCTCAAGCTTGCTGCAGTCGACGCTTTGCTGTCCATGTCCTGTTGCACCCAGTGTCCAGCAAGGGGTCCGCCAGGAGGTGGCTTCGTTGAAGATACAGGGCAACCCAACAAATTTGGGGGTTTCGAAAATAGGGGTACCCTTTTTGGGGGTCCCCTTAAGGGGATTCTATTCTATTTGGGGTATAAAAGGCGTATCCCTATTTAGGGAAATACCCATTCGCAGGACACCATGACGATGCGAGTCCGACAGTGTCCTGTTGAGAAGCAGATGCAGCAGCTAGGCTAAACACGTGGTGGGTGCGGCCAGGGAGTATTCAGGACTTCCTTTATGAGGATGTTCGATTCCTAAAACCCTCAAACCCGAAACCTCAAACTTTCGAAGGGGGGGGGGAGGGAAGGGAGAGGAAGGATTGCACGGTTAGCAACGTGTTGTAGTTTAGAGCCTTATCCAGTTCTGATGTGCGCCTCAGGAATTTCCGGCGGAGGTCTTCAGCCTTGGACATCAGCGGACCGTGAAGAACAGGGAGGGAGCCCCCTCACTTTGTCAACCTTTTCTTTGAAGGGCGTATGACTCATGACTCCAAAATAGCCAAATTCCAGCCCTTCGAACTCTCCTGATGAGACGAGGGGGACCCCTCTTTGCCCAAGTGGAGTTGAAGAAACTTCGAACCGCACGCTCGCACGACGTTTGCCAAGCACGTCGGCAATTAGGTTTTGACGATGGTCACTCCAGATGATGTCCCTTCACGCAGCGTCCCTGGGAATGTCTGGTCATAGTGCGGCCCCGTATTTGAGGCTAAACCCTACGAACCCTATAAACCCTACTGTATAAACCCCATAAACCGTACAAACCCTACGAACCCTACAAACCCAATGAACCCTACAAACCCTCTAAACCCTCTAAACCCTCTAAACCCTCTAAACCCTCTAAACCCTCTAAACCCTCTAAACCCTCTAAACCCTCTAAACCCTAAACCCAGAAAGGGGACCACAGTTAAGAGAGGTGGCCAAGTGAGTGGCTTTGCGGTCGAAGCCCAAGAAGCCAGATTGAGTGTAGACCGTTCCTGCACCCAAAGAGCCCAATATTGCTTAATTAAGGAATATTCCTTAAATCATATAGGGATCCTTAATCGGATTTAAGGTATATTCCTTAATTAAGCAATATTGGGCTCTTTGGGAAGTTAGGCGTGGGGCATTGTCTTCACAAGGCAGGCTGCCCAAAGGCACCTCGCCTTGTGGGGATATTATTTATCTGTGTGGAGGACTTCTCATGTCGGGGGATTTTATTGACATCCTCGTTTAGGGTTTAGGGTTTAGGGTATAGGGTTTAGGGTTTAGGGTTTAGGGTTTAGGGTATCCTGACCCGACTCTTTTGCATGCCAGGCATGCCCTTTCTGAAGAGGTAGTCTTCAAAGGCCAGTGCGCGCCGCCTCACGCGGATCGCTTGCACGCAGCCCTTTTGGAAGAAAGGCCAACTGAATGCAGTTACCTCCCCCTACCTCCCCTGCACCCGAAAACCTTTAGACCCTAAAGCTTTGGTTTGTTGAGAGTTGGTTCTGGGGAGAGTGTAGGTTTCGCGAACGGTCACAGAGCAAGGCTAGAAGCTGCAAATCAGTAGCAGTCGTGGGGCACTTAAATTAATGGAGATCGGGGTTTAGGGTTTAGAGTTTCGGGATCAACTTTGCAAGTGACTGCTTAGCCTGAGGTTCCTGCGATTGCCTGGCATTCCGTGTACGGATCAGTTTGCTTGTCACATTGCCCACCAGGCAATGTCAGACCCCTCCATGCCTTCAGCCCATGATTTTTCTTGAGCTCGGGTGGCTTGAGCAGGGTTTAGGGTTTAGGGTTTAGGGTTTAGGGTTTAGGGTTTAGGGTTCCCGACACTGGTGCGAGAGAGGACGTCGCCCGCGGCTCACAGGAGTGAGTGTATAGAACTTCCTGGAGCTCAGGGGAACATGCCGGCTCCATCGCTGTTGGCACATCTAGAGGCCTCCAAGGACACCTTGCTGGTGCAAGTAGCGTCCCCTGTTTTGAAAGGTGCGCCATTCTACTTCCCCAAAGAGCCCAATATCCTCTGAATTAAGGAATGTTCCTTAAATTATATAGGGATCCGTAATATAAGTTAGGGCATATTCCTTAATTAAGGGGTTGGGCTCTTTGGGTCTATCTACTTTTGTTGTTAACGGTATATGTTTCTAATATTGCCTACCTCTTTCTCTAAGAAAGCTCCCGGAACCCTTGCAGCCCTGCAGTTTCCAGCCAGATCGACACGTCCCAACGAAAGTTGATGGATCATATCCTCTTGAATTTGAGCCCTGTTTCCTTTGTAGCATGATCTTGATCAATGCAGGAAGGATCCGGTGCAAAATTTACTTTTCTCTTTGACAACTGTCCACAACTGCCTGCATTGAACTCTAAGCCCGAATTAAACCCTAAATTCTTTGCGTCAGGACTCGACGGCCTTGTCACTAGCCTATGCCTCCGTCGGCGACGATGGCTGCACAGCCATTGCACGCTACATGCGGGAAAATGTTGGGGGCCCCAGCCGCGAAGAATCCAAAGTGTTGATTTGTGCCCAAACAGAGGCACATCAATTCAGGTACCATGAACCTTACTATTGGGGTCAGATACCCTACACTACGATAGTTCTTGTTAGGTAGTATGCCCAGGGTTTGGAATTTAGGGTTTATAGGGTTTATAGGGTTCAGCAGTCCTGGGTTAAAAAAAGGGTTTATAGGGTTTAGGTTTTTAGGGTTTAGGGTTGAACCTAGAGGTCATGCTGCGGACTTTGGACCTCCGTGGCAACAACATCCGCACCTTGGCGCAACACCATGTTGACATTGTGCGGGTACATGGAAAGGAGTTTAGGGTTTAGGGTTTAGGGTTTAGGGTTTAGGGATCCCGTTTAAGATGCCCTAAAACCTGAAGCCTTCCCAGAAGCAAACCACGACTGCCACTGAGGCGCCGATGGTCTTGTAGTCCTGGCGCATGGGCTTCGCACAGGCCTGGGTTTCTGTGATTTGGGGGAAGAAAGATTTTGGGGTCGAGGGCTTGCAAGGAGGACCCAAGCACCCTGCGTCAGGTGTGTCATCATGTTGTTCTTGATGCACATGGCATGCTTCTGCTAAACGCATGTTCGGACAAGAGTGTCTGGTCCCTTGCCGAGCAATTTCCTGGGGCTTCGTGGAACCTGTCTGACTGTGCAGGTGGCACCAACATGACAAGCGCGGGAAGCTCAGCATTCTCGCGGCTGCTTGTTGCATGCTGAGAGATAGGAGGCTTTTGTACCTTAAAAGACATCAGCACCGAACAGTGAGAGCGGTGTCTGAGAGGGTCCAGCCGCAGCAGTCGTAGCTTCTTGCAACACCTGCATAGCACGAGTGCAATTTTTGCAAGCACCGTTGATGGTTTGCCCTGTGGCCTTCGAACACGTGCCAGCCTGGAGAGTTGGAATGCGCAGTGCATGGGTGAAGGAGCGAGTGAGTGTGCTGAACCCTGTTGCATCCAGCCACAATTCCATGCCTCAGAACTCAGAGGGATAGCTGGACAAACGTGCTATTTTCATGGCAGTGCTTGAAGCTGTAAACCCTCTCAAGGTGTGCTTCAAGTGGAATCAGATTGGCAGCTGCCTGCCTGCATACGAGATGCCGAGCAACTTTGGGGCGGTTTGCATGGTTGAGACGGGCGTTTGCCTGCGGACTCTTACGTCTTACTGGCATTTGCTTGTGCTTTGCGGGTCTTGTGGTGTGGCTGAGAACCCAGAGAGCCCAATACCCCTCAATTAAGCAAAATACCTTAGACCATATTCATGGGGATCCTGAATATGGCTTAGGGTATAATCCATCTTTATTCAGGAATATACCTTACAATTCATAGGGATCCTTAGTATGGTTTAGGGCATATTCCATCTTCATTGAGGAATATACCTTAAAAAAATCATAGGGACCCTTAATATATGGTTTATAGGGCATATTTCATCTTTATTAAGGAATATACCTTAAGATTCATAGGGATCCTTTGATATGGTTTTAGGGTATAATCCATCTTTTAAGGGGCATTCGGCTCTTTGGGGGGAAGTATCTCAGGCCATCCGCGGGGCATCCAGGCCTTCTGTGACGTGCTGAAGGCTCCGCGGCCGAAGTGTCGAGAGCGATCTCGGGTTTAGGGTTTAGGGTTTCAGGTTTAGGGTTTAGGGGTCCTTAGGGTTTAGGGTGGGTTTAGGGTTTGGGGTTTAGAGTTTAGGGTTTAGGGTTTAGGGTTTAGGGTTTAGGGTTTAGGGTTTAGGGTTTAGGGTTTAGGGTTTAGGGTTTAGGGTTTAGGGGTCCTTAGGGTTTAGGGTGGGTTTAGGGTTTAGGGTTTAGGGTCTAGGGTTTAGGGTTTAGGGTTTAGGGGCTTAGGGTTGCCACATTACGTGTGACAGGGCGTCGAGGCTGCGAGGATGCTAGGCGTACAGGCGAAACCTGAACCCCAAACCCCAAACCCCAAACCCCAAACCCTAAACCCTAAACCCCAAACCCCAAACCCCAAACCCTAAACCCTAAACGCTAAACCCAAAAATTCTTATGTTATCTGTACACAGCATTCCCCCTTCAGTTGCCCCGTGGAGCATGGCTAGACGGGTGGCAAAAAACCCAAAAACCCAAAAATGAGGGGGACTGAGATGGTTCTTTGGGATGGTTCTCTTGTGGTCTCTCTTTGGGTGCCTGCTTCCACACAGAGACCCAGAGAGCCCAATGCCCCTTAAATATGTAAAGAATATACTCTATATTACATAGGGATTCTTCATATTGTCTAAGGTATATTCTTGATTTAAGGGGTACTTCAGGAACATACCTTAAAATGATATAGGGATCCTTGATTGGCTTAAAGGTCTATTCCAATACCCCTTGTGGGCTCTCTTTGGGGAAGCGCTGGCATGAAGGACTTGCTGTCTCGGGGGTCCCCGAAACCTGTGGGCCCCCTACGTACTACGCAATGATCCTAAACCCTAAACCCTAAACCCTAAACCCTAAACCCTAAACCCTAAACCCTAGTGTGAGAGTCGAAACCCTAAACCCTAAACCCTAAACCCTCTACCCTATAAACCCTAAACCTTAAACCCTCTTGATGGCCCAGGAAAGCCAGTCCATAACCCACGTCGATTTGCGGCGGCCAGGCTGCAGATCTCGTGTGCGGTTTAGGGCTTAGGGTTTATAGGGTTCCCCCCTAAACCCTAAACCCTAAACCCTAAACCCTAAACCCTAAACCCTAAACCCTAAACCCTAAACCCTAAACCCTAAACCCTAAACCCTAAACCCTAAACCCTAAACCCTAACCCTAAACCCTAAACGTTGGGTACCTCATACCGCATACCATGGTTTTGCAATGTACATCTTGACTCATCTTCACATCGGTGGTACGTCATGCAGTGGTTCCTTAAGAACAACCCAAGTTCAGGCACGGCACTTATGGGCTACCAGAAAAGTCAGGAAGCTTTCCATGTCTCCATGTTATGGTAACTTAACGGAAGTCCCCCATACAGAAGCTCTCCATGCTTTTGCGTGTCCCGTGGGGTAAGTTCGGGGAGCACAGCACAGGGCCTCCCGATGGCGGCCCGAAGCCCACAGTAAACGCATACATAGCAAGTAAAAAGAGCAGCCCCCGAAAATATGTGCTCCTCAACCCGTGAGCCCGTTAAAACCACAACCCAGAAGTCGTGATGCCCAGGAACAACAAGATCGGCGCAGACTGCGGTCACTTCCTGGGCGACATGCTGCGGGAAAACAGCTTCTTTGCGGCACCGACGCGATGTTGAGCAGCTGAAGCCTTGCTCGGGGCCAATGGAAGTCGACCCTAAACCCTAAACCCTAAACCCTAAACCCTAAACCCTAAACCCTAAACCCTAAACCCTAAACCCTAAACCCTAAACCCTAAACCCAATGGAAGCCGAGCCTCCAATCCAAGGCACCTTGACACACTTGGACCTCAGCTGGAATGACCTGGGAGTTGAGGGTGGCAAGGCCTTGTTGGATGGCCTTCAGGCAGGGGGCACGGCAGCGTCTGGCCGCGGCCGTTGTTTGGGTTAGGGTTTAGGGTTTAGGGTTTAGGGTTTAGGGTTTAGGGTTGAGGGTTGAGGGTTGAGGGTTGAGGGTTGAGGGTTGAGGGTTTAGGGATAGCCTTCCAGCTTGCCGTGGTGTCAGGCCAACCACACCCTGATCGATTGCCAGCTCAGCGGAAATCGCCTGGCTGAGGCATCTCGGTGTTTCCATGATCATGCCTGTTGTGTCCGGTGATGTGTGGGACAGTCTGCGGCAGTGCGTGCGCAGAACGAATGGCAAGTGCAAGCACATGTAGCCTGCTTCACAATACAAGCACTCCGCGACCATCCCACTAAGACACCACGCTCAAACACATGTGCCTCAATGAGACCCTGCGACCCCTGGAACCCTAAACACGAAACCCTAAACAACTCACCAGCAGCACAAAGCACTCAACTCTCCAGCCTTCCTCCCTTGAAAGCCCTGAACTCTGGAATCCCAAGGCAGGAGAACCCTCAGCCTAACCTTACACCCTAGACCCGAAAAACCCAGGACCCACAAACCTAAACCCTAAACCTTAAACGTAAACCCTAAACCCGAAACCCTAAACCCTTAACCCTTAACCCTTAACCCTAAACCCTACCCACTCAGTTGCTCCGACTCAGAGATGGCGCCGAGTAAACCCTATCCCTTAATGCCACCCTCAACTTTCCAGGACACCCTGCATGCCATTGCCTTCATTCTCAGACGCAATCGGCAGACGGCACCCATGGGAGCCAGGGTCTTACATAGATGGGAGAAGGGTTTAGGGCCCTTTGCGGTGAGGGGTTTAGGTTGAAAGAAAAGGGTTTGGGGTTTAGGGTTTAGGGTTTAGGGTTTAGGGGTGCAGGAATTAAGGCTTGGGGCTTTTGTGGGTTCAGGTTTGGGGCGTAGGGTTTTAACCTTAGGGAAACCCTATTTGCTGGCCCTGTGTTCGTGGTCGTGCTTGCTTTGGTGTAACGAAGGTTTACAGGGAGTATAGGGTTTATGCAGTAGGGCTTTTGGTTTTCGGGGCTATTGTCAGGGTTCAGGAGTTTAGACTATGGCCGGAGATGCCTGAGGCGAGCGCCTTCAGGCAAGAGCGCGCGATGTCTCCCTCTCAGGACCTGCCAGAAACCCTAAACCTGAAGTCCTAACCCTAAACCCTAAACCCTAAACCCTAAACCCTAAACCCTAAACCCTAACCTTAATCCCAATGCTGAATGCCGTAATATCCCAAGTAAAACATGTCAGCCCTGGAAGCCTGAGAAGTGTAGGGTTGTAGGGTCATAGGGTTTTAGGGACTTGAGGCTTTGAGCACCTCTGCGCCAGCATTGGTGATAAACAAACATTGATATCTCGAGTAGAAAAGTCATGATTTATTTGCCCCTTATTTTGGAGGATGTATGTATGTGTGTTTGTTTGTCTGTTTGTAGTGTTTTGTTTTGTTTTGTTTATTGTTTTCAAGCTCCCGGTGTTGGGATGTCAAGTTGAAGACATCTAGTCCAAAGTGCCCACCCCACCGCTCCGCTTTTGACTTGCGCCCAACCGAGAGCCCGAACAAGAAAACAACGGCACAAGTCCCTAAACTTGAGCCGACTCTTTTCTCACCCTTTACAACTGCTTGCTTCAGAACCACCCCAAAAACGAAAGAAAATGTCCGTACTTATTTGGACAATATAGGGGTTATGCTTGGGGCGGGGGGTTCTTAAGCAGATAGTAGCTTACAAGCCCTGACCTAAACCCTAAGCCCTAAGCCCTAAGCCCTAAGCCCAAACCCCAAACCCCAAACCCTAAACCCCAAACCCCAAACCCCAAACCCGAAACCCTAAACCCTAAACCCCAAACCCCAAACGCTAAATCCCACACCCCAAACCCTAAACCCCAAACCCCAAACCCTCAACCCCTTGAAGTTCTCTGCTTCTCCAGGACCCCAGGTCGCCATCGCCGATGTCGCCGATGTCGCCACAGGCCCCCACGACGCCCGCCTCGCCAGGCCCGAGGGCACTCCTTAGGAGGTCCTTGGATTTAGGGTTTAGGGTTTAGGGGTTTAGTTTAGGGTTTAGGGGTTTAGGGGTTTAGGGGTTTAGGGTTTAGGGTTTAGGGTTTAGGGTTTAGGGTTTAGGGCTCAGATGTATCAAAGCATGACAGATTGAGGGTTTCAGTGGTTTTCGATGGTTTTTGTGTCACGCTGCAGTCCTGCGATCTTCGATCGTCCTGGGCCATGTCTTTCGTGCGTGCCTTGTGGCTGCTGCCATCCTTGTGCACCAACTGCATCTTCACTTCACTTACGTCGTGGCAACGACATGGTTAGTTGTGTGTGGTTTAACCACGGTCCTGAAGTGATGGGGTTCATGCTTTGCAATAATTGCAATGAAACTTTCTTCCAGCCAGCGCGTTGCTCCGAAACTTGCTGGCACCACCAAGACCACCACAGCCGCCTTGCAGGATTTGGCGGCACGACGCCTGCCTCGCCTGGCTTCGGGACTACTGTGCCGCTACTGCAAGTGGCCATATTAAAATCCAACAACTATGTGACCCTTCCGAGACGAACTGCTGCCTCTTCCTCTTGTGAGCATGCAAGCCGAGACAGGCCCAAAGATGTATGTGTGGCCCTGCTACCCCTAAACCCTAAACCCTAAACCCCAAACCCCAAACCCTAAACCCTAAACCCTAAACCCTAAGCATCATGAGCTGCTCAGGGGCGTTCGCTGAACATGACCATTGCCTCGGAGGCCCTGCTCCATGCTTAGGGTTTGGGATTTACAGGAGCGCAAGATGACAAAGTCCTTGAAGCCTGCAGTCTGAATAGTAGGTTTAGGGGGTATATATCTATATCTGTACCTATATCCTTATCTATATCTATATATATATATGTGTGTATATAGATTCTTTTATGTTGTCACAGCTACGGAGATTCAGATGCGAGTAGGGCACCCATATCCCGAAAGGTTTGTGCCGAACTCAACTTAACACCACGCCCAAAACTGTTTTTCAACCTCCCAAACTTCAAAAACCCGCAACCTGAACCCCTTCAGAGCCAAGAAGCCCTAAACCCCGAGAGACCCGTGAAGTCAGGAAAAGTGCTCCTGAGTCACCTCGGCCTGAGTCCAAATGGGAAAGGTCTGAGGCAGAAACGCACTGAACCCAGGTCGAAAACAGTACCCCCCCCCATCCCTCCCACAGAAAACGCAAACTTGCATCTGACCCTTGCTTAGAGAGAACACGACACCAACTAGAGCCGCAGATCAAATCCCAGATGAGTCGCCGTCCGAGTGCGCGAGAGCACTCCGAAAACCAGAAAAAAAGAAACACTGTTTGGTGGCGCACAGCCACGGATCCCAAAGCAATGCGTAGAATATACGCAAGTCATAGGAGGAGGTTTGCCCAAGACTGGTGCCCACATCAAGGGGGCATCGCTCCGCCCTAAGATAGGTTTTAGGGGTTTTGGTTGTGGAAAAAAATGGTTTAGGGTTAAAGGTTTAAGGGACTTCGGGTTTTTCATGGAAGCGCTCGATTCCTGGTTTTCGATTCCTTTTCCACTCGACGGTCACCCACCCCAAACCGCAAACCAACAACAAAACTAGGGCGAAAGCTTTTTGCAGCAAGCAAAACAGGCAGCCCCAAACCCGAAAAGAAAGCTCAACAAAGAAACGCTCAGCAAGACACGCACATTACTGTAGAATAACAAGAAGCCGCACAACAAAAAAACTAAAACAACACTTGCCCAGGGTGGTCCGATGAGCCCCAAGGAAGGGCCCCCAACCACAAGCCTGCCGCCGCTGACGCCCGCCAAGGTCTGGGCGGGGCTCCCTAAACCCTAAACCCTAAGCCCCAAACCCGAAACCCTAAACCCTAAACCCCAAATCCTAAACCCCAAACCCGAAACCCTAAACCCTAAACCTGGGTTGAGGGGAAGTCAGGGTTCTAGGGGACTATGCAGAAAATACACCTAGTGAGGATAATATTACATATTCTATATATATATATATATATATATATATATAGGTACATATATATATACATATTATCATAACAACAAATGTATATATAAATATATATGTATAGACAGAATACATGCCGTTTTAAAGATCGATGGAGGGTTCTACAGGGCTTGAGGATGCTTAGAGCTGTGGCGGTGGGCGGGGGGAGGGGTTGCGGGACAAAGGGCTCTAAGGGTTTAGCGGAGTTAGGGTTGAAGGGCGCAACCCTAAACCCTAAACTCCTATCCCTAAACCCGAATTAAACCCTGAACTCTAAACCCTACACCCCAAACCCTATTTAAACCCTTGACTCTAAGCCACTCAGGCCCTCCTCTCACAGGTTTCTTGGAGCCCTTGCAGGCCTTTTTGCAACTCAGGAGCTCACTCCCGGAACTTGTCCTGAATCCGGTGCTTTGCAGATTCCCTATCATCCTCACCTCTTGTTTTGCAACGGGTGCCGTGTAGCCTTCTCTTGCAGAGCCCTGCGCCAGGAAACCCTAACAGCTAGCACAAAAAATGAGGAGTCTAGCATGCGGAAACCTTGCATCTCATATCCTGAAGATTGCTGATGGCACCCATCCCTAGCTGCTCGCTTTGGGAGCAGGTGCAGCCTCCAGTGCATGACGAGGAGCCTTCAGGGCAGATGCAAGTCTTGGGGGATACAAAGCTAAACCTCCTAAACCCCAAAATCCGAAACCCTGAGTCTTACTAAACCCTAAACCCTAAACCCTAAACCCTAACCCTAAACCCCTCAAGCGCCAACCCAGGAGCTGCACCTTGGCTGCAGGGCCTTGGGCAGCGCGGCTTCACCGCCTGCTTTGGGGGGGGGGGGGGGGGGTTGCTCTCAAGTAGGGGGGAGGGGGGAGCGGGGGGTTGTTCCTCCCTTTTTCTTTTGAAATGGGGGGGGGGAGGTGTTCTGCGGGGTTAGGGTTTTGCTCGATGCAAAAGGTCAAAAACGGGACAGGGACCCTATGCACAAGGAATGCCCTGGCAAAGTCCTTTGGCTTTCTTTTTGCGAGTCGTAGCTCTATCGTCTGCTTCACGTTTGTCAATCCAGGCACTGTTGCCTTAAGAGTTTATTTGTTGTGTTACTTCTTAAGCCCTGAACCCTACACAGCATGTTTGGGTTACTATATGTTTTAGCTTGAGACGCTTGGGAATTACAAGAGACCATCTTCATGTGCGGAGAAGACATCATGCAACATTTTAGAGGCCCTTTGTCTTCCATGTGTTGTTCCCCGGCTCCTGCAACTATGTTCGAAGCTCCAAGCCCGAAGCCAAAGACCCAAAGACCCAAAGACCCTAAACCCTAAACCCTAAACCCTAAACCCTAAACCCTAAACCCTAAACCCTAAACCCTAAACCCTAAACCCTAAACCCTAAACCCTCCTAAAAAGAGGTCATTGCCTAAGCTGCCCCTTCGTGGAAAGGCTGGCAGGGTCCGAGTGGCTTAATTGGGCGAGCGTTCGCTGCGTTTAAATACGCCGACTGCAAGCTCGAGGAGTTTGTGTATGAGGACAACCCTTTTTCTTTCTTGGTTTTTGCACTGGCGCCTTTGGCAGGTGAGAACTTGGGAAGAACACCACGCCGGCGGAACCGGCGTGGCACAGACGAGCTCGACGTTCCAGAACCAGGGCTCGTACAACAATTCGTTTGGCCAAGACAGACTGGAGCCAGGTCACACCGCATCAGTTGTTGGCAGCGCAAAGAACCCTGCTGAAGCATCACTCGCTGAGCAAGCGAGAAGCGAAGCATCTGCAGGTACAGAAGAGCTTGCTCGAAGCAACAGGCTCGATACAAGCAGCTATGTCGAGCTGGTTTTGTTCAACATGCCAGCAATGGACGAAAGCCAGTGCCAACTACTGCCCGAGCTGTGGAGCAGGCAGGCCGTATGTGCATACGGAGTCCTGGGCCGCAGCACCAGCCAAGCAGGCGCCGTGGTCAACTGGAGCTCAGTGGACCGAATGGCGCCCTCGATCTCCAAGGAGAGTGTCTCCGAGACGTCGTGGCAAAGGCAGTGGTGGGTACGACCAACAGCCCAACAAGGGCAAGGGAAAGGAGAAGTCGGAGAAGCAGGAGCGCAAACCACTTGCGTCAGCAGCCAGTGCAGAGACATTGACTGTAAGAACAATGCCAAAGGCCCCCGCCGTACCCCAGATGGCGACCAAGAACCAGGACGGCAAGGAGACTGCTCCTGCCACGTCGGCGGCCGCTACACCTGCGACAGCTTCTTCGACAGCAGACGATGGCGCCAACAAGCAACTACAAGCACTAATGCAAGCGCTGCAAGGATGGGATTCCCTTCCTCCTGCAGTGAAAGACATGATGGAGTCAGCGCAGCAAGAGAACAACAAGAAGGTGTCGGCCTCTTTGCACAAGAAAGTGACGGAGCAGGCGCGTGCACGAAAAGACCTTGTGGAGCTAAGGCGACAACGAGGCGAGTATTTGGCTGGATGGTCGCAGTATTTGCAGGACTTGCTGCAGACACTCCAGAAGCAGTTTGGGGAACGCAACAACACGTTGGAGCAGCTTTACAACCAGGAGGGCAACCTAATGCAAGCGTTGCAGGCTGCCAGTATGGAAGTCAAGCGCTTGAGCACCCTGCAGCAGAAAGTGGACCCTGGCGACGTCGTGCATGTGGACTCGCCAGAAGAAGGCATGAGCGATGCCGAAGCAGATGTGTCACAGGCAGCGGAGATCGACGCGAAGAGGCGGCATCAGATGCAGGCCTTGAAGCAAGAAGACCTCTCCCTCCACCAGCTCTTGGAACAGGCCTTGGAAACAACGGCCAAGCAGGCGGCGGCGTATGGAGAACCAGTCACTCCGAGAAGCCGTCCGGCCAAGCGAGCTGCAAGAGAAGGCGGAGGGGAGACTGCTGGCACGGAGGAGGCCAAGGCCAAACCTCCGGAGCCGCCTTTTACGAAGGCCTAGGACGGAGCCCATGGGAATGCCATGGGGGGAGCAACTCACAGTGGAGTGGCTCCTGTGCCGCCACGGGCCGTAACTATGGGCTATGTCTCAGCCATAGCGTGCGCAATGAGGCTGACTTTGTCGACGGATGGCATGCAGCTTTCATTGCGGTTCAAATGACTTTCGAGCTCAACATCGCTTACGCTTTTGCTGCCAGCCATTCCTTTCATCGGGATCCGAGGATACTTGAGAATGATGAAATGGATGGCGATGCTCTAAGGGTTCAATGTCAGGAAGAAACGTGTGGTCACACTCTTGCTGAGATTGAACCGAAGTGGGAATGGAGTGACAGCTGCGAAGCCGAAAGCCTTGGGTACAGTGATTCTCATGTACAGTGTACAAAGCGTGAGAGTGTACAGAAGATTTCTGGTCCTACCACCTTCGAGGACGGTGCCGTACCGAGCCTCGGTGGAGCAGGGCTGTTATCGTCAAGATGTCATTCCCCCATCCCACATGTCATGTGTACAAAGATTTCTGGCAAGCCGCTGTGTAGTTCAGGCCTCCCCACCGTCGAGGACGGTACCTTGTCGAACCTTGAAGGGCATGAGCCTATATCGCTGCAGCCCCTTGACGCACCAGTGCGTTCCGAATGCTTAAGCTGCCTGAAAAGGGCTGATGGACGGCATAGATGGGGGTACCGAAATTTGAAAAAGGTACATTTCGACGACGACTCATGGGCCGTAAAGGCAATTGCCTCCTTTAGAAACGAGTTGAACAACCTTCGTGAGGTAGCTCGGCCATCAGGTACTGCTGAGGGAGTGCCGCAGGTACAAGCCCATGATCTCGATCCGGCCAGCGGGTCGGCAGGACTCTTCGTGCCCAAGGTGCAAGCAGAGGTCTCAGGTCTCAATCCGGCCAGCAGGTCGGCAGGACTCTTTGTGCCCCAGGTGCAAACAGAGGTCTCAGGTCTCAATCCGGCCAGCAGGTCGGCAGGACTATTTGTGCCCCAAATCCAAGCAGAGGTCTCAACAGTACCCTTCATGCCGCAGGTGCAAGCAGAGGTGTCAGGTCTCAATCCGGCCAGCAGGTCGGCAGGACTCTTTGTGCCCCAGGTGCAAACAGAGGTCTCAGGTCTCAATCCGGCCAGCAGGTCGGCAGGACTCTTTGTGCCCCAAATCCAAGCAGAGGTCTCAACAATACCCTTCATGACGCAGGTGCAAGCAGAGGTGCAAGCAGAGGTGTCAGGTCTCAATCCGGCCAGCAGGTCGGCAGGACTCTTTGTGCCCCAGGTGCAAACAGAGGTCTCAGGTCTCAATCCGGCCAGCAGGTCGGCAGGACTCTTTGTGCCCCAAATCCAAGCAGAGGTCTCAACAATACCCTTCATGCCGCAGGTGCAAGCAGAGGTGTCAGGTCTCAATCCGGCCAGCAGGTCGGCAGGACTCTTTGTGCCCCAGGTGCAAACAGAGGTCTCAGGTCTCAATCCGGCCAGCAGGTCGGCAGGACTCTTTGTGCCCCAAATCCAAGCAGAGGTCTCAACAGAACTCTTCATGCTGCAGGTGCAAGCAGAGGTCTCAGGTCTCAGTCCGGCCAGCGGGTCGGCAGGACTCTGCGTGCCCAAGGTGCAATCAGAGGTCTCAGGGCTTTATCCGGCCAGCCGGTCGGCAGGACTCTCCACGCCACAGATGCTAGAGGTGTCAAGTTCCAACGCGGCCAGCGTGGCAACACTCTCCACACCGCAAGAGGCAGCTAAGGTCCCAGGCTATCTGGCCAGCCGGTCAGCAGGACTCACCGTGCCGCAGGTTCCAACCGACCCCAGTGCGGACAGCGTGTCAAGGGGACTTCTTGTCACTGCGCAGGCGCCAGCCAAGGTTTCAGGTCACCATCCGGCTAGCCGGTCGGCAGGCCCCTCCACACTGCAGGTGCCAGGAGAGGTGTCAGCTTTCACTGCGGATAGCCGGTCGCGTCAGGTGCAAGCAGCAACCGGCTTGTCAACCCTCCGCGCCACAGGTTGCAGCAAAGGTTTGAGGTCTCAATCCAACCGGCCGGTTGGCAGGACTCTCCACGCCGCAAGTATCAGCAGAGGTCTCAGTCTTCCGGCCAGCCGGTCGGCAGGACGATCCGCTCTGCAACCAGCAGAGGCCAGCCAGTCGGCAGCACTCTTTGCGAGCCAGGTGCAAGCAAAGGTTTCAGGTCTCAATCCGGCCAGCAGGTCGGCAGGACTCTCTGCCCTGATGCAGCCAAAGGTTTCAGGTCTCAATCCGGCCAGCAGGTCGGCAGGACTCTCTGTCCAGCTACAAGCAGAGGTCTCAGGTCTCAATCCGGCCAGCGGGTCGGCAGGACTCTTTGTGCCCAAGGTGCAAGCAGAGGTCTCAACAGAACTCTTCACGTGTCAGGTGCAAGCAGAGGTCTCAGGACTCAATCCGGCCAGCGGGTCGGCAGGACTCTGCGTGCCGCATGTGCAAGCAGAGGTCTCAGGTCTCAATCCGGCCAGCAGGTCGGCAGGACTCTTTGTGCCCCAAATCCAAGCAGAGATCTCAGCAGAGCCCTTCATGCCGCAGGTGCAAGCAGAGGTCTCAGGTCCCAGTCTGGCCAGCGGGTCGGCAGGACTCTTTGCTCAAGGTGCAGTCTCAGGTCTCAATCCGGCCAGCAGGTCGGTAGGGCTCTTTGTGCCCAAACGGCAAGCAGAGGTTTCAGGTCCCAATCCGGCCAGCATGTCGGCAGGACTCTTTGCGCCCCAAATCCAAGCAGGGGTCTCAACAGAACTCTTCATGCCGCAGGTGCAAGCAGAGGTCTCAGGTCTCAGTCCGGCAAGCGGGTCGGCAGGACTCCTCGTGCCCAATTCGCAAGCAGAGGTCTCAGGTCTCAACCCGGCCAGCATGTCCCAGCAAGCAGAGGTCTCAGGCAGCAGGTCCACGCCGCAGTTGCAAGCAGAGGTCTCAGGTCTCAGCCCAGCCACAGGTTGCAGCAAAGGTTTCAGGTCTCAGTCCAGCCAGCCGGTTGGCAGGACTCTCCGCGTCGCAAGTGTCAGCAGAGGTCTCAGTCTCCATCTGGCCAGCCAGTCGGCAGGAGCCTGCGCCCCGCAACCAGCAGAGGTCTCAGGTCTGAACCCGGCCACCAGGTCGGCAGGACTCTTTGTGCCCCAAGTGCAAGCAGAGGTCTCAGGTCTCAACCCGGCCAGCCGGTCGGCAGGACTCTTCATGCCCCAGGTGCAAGCAGAGGTCTCAGGTCCCAAACCGGCCGGCAGGTTGGAAGGGCTCTTCACGCCGCAAATCCAAGCAAAGGTCTCAGATCTCAGTCCGACTAACAGGTCGGCAGGACTCTTCGCGCCCAAGGGGGAAGCAGAGGTCTCAGGTCTCCATTCCACCAGCAAGTCGGCAGGACTCTTCGCGCCGCAGTTCAGCCAGTCAACAGACCTCTCAACGGAGCAAGCAGTGAGCCATGGGGCAGAGTCCTCAAACATGGCAGCTGTTATATCCCTTGAGCAAGCGATACCTGACGAAGTCTGTGAAGCTCGAATCAAGTGCGACTTATGCCCAAATTCCATTGCCCAGTTGCTTGAAGATTTCACGCCCGATCAATGGCAACTACAGCTACCAGATGGCATGCAACTACATGAAAGCGTAGCGCCCTGGCTCGAACATGAAGTTGACTGGCGTCCTTGCCCATGCCAGCAAACGCTCCACTTGTTCGTTGATGGCACCTCCTGGCCTGATGCCAAGCACCCGCCTGCGTGGGCAGTCCTTGCTTTCTGGGAAGGAACCACCAAAAAGCACTGGGCTGGCTATCTTGCTGACATCTTGTGGGGGCCTGACCATTCCAAATTCCTTGGGTTCGACCACCCCCAGGCTCTCGAGGCAGAATGTGTCGCCATGTTCATAGCACAAGCCATGATCTTGGCTGCGAAACCATCCAGCGCTGTCATCCACTATGACTGCAAAGTCGCGGCCAGGACAGCTGAGGGCAGATGGCGGTTGCAAGGTAAGCTAGGAGAAGCCAATGTCCCACGAGCCATGCATGCCCTTCGTGCTGTTGCGGCTGAGGTTGGTGTCCCTATATGCTTCCAACACGAGCGGTCACACACCGGCATTGGTGGCAATGAGATGGCTGACTCACTTGTCAAGCACGTGTCCAAGTTCCCACGAGCAGCCACTGAGGCACCAGGAGAGCCAGTTGCATTTGCCATCAGGCATCACATGTTCGCTTGGTTGTGGGTGGTCGCTAATGATGCCAAAGTGGCTGACATGCCCTATGAGTCGCCCGTGCAAGTCATAGGTGAAAGCTCCAACGTCATGAAGGAGGCTCTGGCGACACCTGCCGCCCTGGCAATGCAGACAGCGTCAGCCGCCAAGGAAGTCATTCAGCTCGAGTGGCGGCTCATCACATATAACTCCTTGTCCATGCAACGTGTCGAACAAAGACAATGCCTTGCTAGCCACCTGTCAAAGCAGCGCTGCCCTGTGGCTGGCTTTCAGGAAACAAGGGAGACGTGTGACGTCATGAGGCACTTTCAGGGCTTTAAAATTTTCGCTTCAATGCCTATTGCAGGACAGGGTGGATGCCAATTGTGGTTTTCCACTTCCGCCATTGCCAACGCAGAAAGCGGGCCAGTCACATGGGATGCAAGGGGGTTCTCTGTCACGCATAGCTCGCCCCGTTGTCTTGTTGTGACCGCCAGCTGTGCAGGAGCCAGGTTCGCGTTTGTCTGCGCACATGCCCGCACCTCAGCCGAAAAGCCAGACACAATTCATGAGTGGTGGCAGTGGTTAGCAGGCATAGTAAATGCCATCCCGCGAGGCAGGCAGGTGGTGCTCTTAATTGACGCCAACGCTCGATTTGATGCTGGCGTGGAAGGCAGCATGAAACCCCGAAACCTCAATGCTGAGCATTTTGCGCATTTCTTGCGACGGTTCGAGCTTGCCGCAACTGGGGTGTTAAATAGCGCGGGGCAACCCATAGTCACGTGGACGAGTCCAGCAGGCAAGCCTGCTTGCTTGGACTTTGTGGCAGTGCCACAGTCATGGCGGCCTTTCCTCTCTGTGCATCATGATGTCCCGCATTTCCTTGATTTGCATTCAGGGTTTGATCATCACCCGCTGCATGCCGACCTCAAAGTTTGCCTTGAGCTTGAAGTCGTAAAGAGGCGCCGCGTGATCGATAGAGCTTTCTTGGCATCGGACGAAGGGCACCAATGCGCAAAACAAATCTTTCAAAGCCTCCCTGCTGTGCCTTGGGAATGTGATGTTGATGTTCATTTAAGTGTCATAAATGCGCATCTTACACAGGCGTCGGATATGCTGCCAGCAAAGCTGCCCGGGCCACGCAAGCCTGGCATGTCACCTGACGCCTGGCTGTTAGTTAGGGCACGCCATCAATATAGACACATCGCTAGACGAGCCAGGGCCATGACACAAAGGATCTGGCTACATGCTGTGTTCAAAGCATGGCGGCGGCCGTGCTATCGTGCCAATGTGTGTAGGCCTCTTGCCGGATTGTACGCTCTGCAGGCCAGATGCTGCGTTAGTGTTAGAAGACTGGGTCAAAAGTTGCGAAAAGTCACAAGGAAAGATGAAGCTCAATTGACAAGGAAGGCCATGAAAGATGCCAAAAGTGAGGGTCCTGAGGCGCTGGCATCGCACATGCGCGCCGTTCTTCGGTCCGGTAGACGGTACAAGGCCCTGCAGCCCAATCCCGTTTTGCTCACAGGAGATTCTCTCCTGACTGAACCGGAAGAAGTCTTGGACCGCCTGCAACAGCATTTTGCGCAGTTTGAACGTGGGGAAATTGGCTCGCTCGAGCAATGCAGGTCACGGGAAGCCCCGAGGCCCCAAGTTGTGCCCATCGAAGAGATACCGACTTTGCATGCGTTGACCGAAAGCTTTTCGCAGCTTAAATCTGGCAAGGCGCCAGGCCTAACAGGCCTTGTAGCCGAGCTATACCGCGCAGCTCCAGCTGAGGCAGCCAGGACACACTGGCCGTTGCTTGCCAAGACGTGTGCTCGCGGGCGCGGGCCACTTTTATGGAAAGGCGGCATCGCGCGCGCCATTCCCAAACCCCATAAGTGCTTGGGAGAGGTCACCGGGTGGAGAAACATCCTTTTACAAGAACCGGCTGGCAAAGCGGTGGCCAGAGTGCTTCGCGAACCTCTGGAGAAGGCTTTTCGCGCGCAAGCGCGGGAAGGTACTGGAGGTGGCATCAAGGCGCGCCCGATGGAGCTGTCCAGTTTGATGGTCCGGCTTCACTTTAGCCGAGCCAAAGCAGCCGGACGTTCGGCTGCTGTGCTCTTCGTTGACGGGCAACAGGCCTTCTACTCCACGTTGCGAGAGTATCTGTGGGGTAGTCTGCAGCAAGAAGGGGGCCTTGAGCAGGCTGTCCAGCGGCTGTTGGATGGCATCCATGTGGACTCACAGATATGTGATAGAGCTAAACAGTTGCTATCCCAGCCGGGGCGATTGGTTGAACTGGGCGTTTCGTCCAGTTTGAACTATATTTTTCAGGCACAGCTGACTGGTACATGGTACTGCATGAACCCACAGGCCCAGCAGGTTGTGCAGTCCTTTACGGGAACGGGACCTGGCTCACCGCTGGCCGACATCCTGTTTCAGGTCGTTTTCGACATAAGTCTGCGCTCCCTTGAACAAAGCTTGCGGGAGGCCGGCATGCTGCAGTCACCTCTCACGAACGGAGGGGATATGCCTTCGCAGTCTTGGTGCCCATGTTACATCCCGACATGGGTTGACGACCTCGCAATTCTCATTGACGCCGACGCGCCAACAGAGCTAATGCATCGGCTTGATGCTGCCACTCGCGCGGCGCATGTGGCACTTGGGCTTGCCGGAATAGCAGTCAACCACTCCCCAAGAAAGACTGAGGCTGTCCTTGCAATGCGCGGAAAAGGGTCGCAAGAGGCTCGGCGTCAGGCTTGGGTGAGAGAAGCAGGTGTACACGAGGTAGAGGTTGCAGGACGCACGATCCGGTTGGTGTTGGCCAGTAGCTACCTTCATTTGGGCACGACAGTGTGTGCGTCTTCCACAGATGCTCCAGATTTGCGAAGTCGCGGTGAGACCGCGTGGGCTAAATTCCTTCCCGTGCGCAGGCGGGTCCTCACCAACCCTGAGTTAAGCATTTCCGAACGCGTGCAAGTTGTTGATTCGCTCGTACTCAACAGCCTCATGCACGGGGCCGGAGTTTGGACGCTAGCTACCAGCAACGAGCGTGAAATGCTGCATGCGGCTTACATGCGCATTATGCGCGGTTGCATGAAACCATTGTTGGGCGCCAGTGTCGTGGGTTTGACGGACCAGGACGTGTGCTCGGCCCTGTGCGTTCTGAACCCGGAAGAGAACCTGTGGCTGCATCGGGCACGACTCCTCATGCAGTTGGTTCGGTCTGACTGCTATGGCTTGTGGTTTGTTTCCGAGGCGGAAAGCTTCTGGCTCCACCAGGCTGGGCAGGCCTTGTACCGAGTATGCTACCCGCTGCTAGGTCAGCCGGCGACCAATGTGGAATGCGTGCGCGAGTTTCGGCCTTGTAGACATTGGATGCAGCAAGCCAAGCAGCATGCAGCAGCGCTGACGTCTGCGGTGCAAAGCTTCAGGGCGCGGATTCTTCGTGCGCGGCAGACAGCTTGCAGGGCAGTTCGCAGGAGAATCTTCATAGCCAGAAGTCAGTTGCAGGATGGAATTGTTGCCATCCGCATCCCAACTGGAGTCTGCAGACAGCATAGCAGCTCGTGGACATGCCCTGAATGCCACCAAATGTTCGCGAATGCAGCAGCAGGCGGTTCACACATGAGACACATGCATGCGAGGCCTGCGGTTGCTTCGGCTGCCGTGGGTACAGCGTGCCAATGCTGCTGCGTTGAGTTTTGGTCCACCAGACGCCTTAGGCAACACTTACGCCAACAGCCGTCGTGTGGCGTCTGCTATGCTGAGGCGGACCTTGGATGTGAGGCGCCGCATCCTGATGTCGATGATGGCTGGCGCCCGCCGAGTACGGTTGCTGGACCACGTCCATGGTGGGCTACTCTCCAGCCTACTGCCCGGTCTTCCGTTGCCCCACCCATGTCACTGCCTTTGCCGCCGTACGTTTGTCATTTTGCCAGGGCATGGCGGGATTGGGACTTTGAGAAAATTAGGCAATTTTCAGGAGCCACCTTAGTATGGAATACAAGAGTGGTTGCTGCTGAATATGGTCTTTACACTTGGCCGCTAGACATAATCGGGCGCCAGGACTGGGAGGCCATTTTTGGAACCCTGAGTGCTATTGTCGAGGCTCACTGTACAGGGACTTGCTTTGAGAGGCAGGTTCTTGGGCTACGCTTCTGGGCACGGGGTGACATTTTGCATGTTACAAGAGCCAGCGCATAGCGCGGCAGGACGAATTTGAGGCGCGACTTTCAGTCACATGCAGAGCCCGCTGAAACCCTAAACCCTAAACCAGCCAAGGACCCTGAAGCTGCTCCAGAGAGAGCAGAACCACAGCAACGTCGAGGACGCGCGCTTCTTCGGCGAGGCTGGGGCTTGCGTTGACTCAGTCGCCCTTGATGGGTTTAGGGTTTAGGGTTTAGGGTTTAGGGTTTAGGGTTTAGGGTTTAGGGTTTAGGGTTAGGGTGTAGGGTTCAGGATTAAGGTTTTTCTGGACGATCAGTAAAGGAATGACAAGAATAAGACGTAACGATAGTAATACAAGCTAGAACCGTAGTAACTGCAAGAAATGGCAGAAACTAGGTGTTGATACTATTTTCGGAGGAGCGAATCAGAGTCCCAGAATGCAGGTGGCCGAGTACATCGACCTTCTGCAGCTCGATGTGGCGCGGAACAAGAAGTACCGCATGGACGCGGAGGAGTGGGAACGCACAGGTTGCGGGTTGCGGCGGTTTGGAGAACAGAAACCAGCATGAAGACCCCGACACATTGCCGTGGCCCACTGCCTCAGGAGCGCGAGCGCGTGGTGACCAAAGGCCTTCTGCGCAACCCTGTCATAAGGGTCTTGTGGAGAGTTAGGCCCTCTTGCTTCATTCCCCCCCTCCCCCCCTCCCCACCCCCGCAGCCCTCCGAATGCCCTGAGGGTTAGCCACCGAGTTCTGAAGGAACCCAAAGCATGCCCAAACAACGAATCCTGCAGCGGGCAGGATTCATGGAAAGGGAGATGCGCTACGCGCAAGAGATGCGAGAGCTCCTCGGCAGAAAGAACTCCACGAGTGAAATGCCATGAGGTGCTGGACGAGACAAGAGTTTTTGTTCCCTGTCGTGCGGACCCGACAGTGTGCCTAGTACAGAGGCAAGCGCTTGACCTAAGGCTAGAGAACCTTCTGGCAAGGGCAAAAGCGGAGAAGGCACGTGGGCTTGTTCTCTGTCTCCTGATTTTTGTTGTCTGCATGGACCTGCGTGGTGCTTGATTCGCAATCAGGACGTAAGCTGTGTAAGCTCAGAGGTCCATGCTGATTCATTGCTACTACTCGGCTGGCCCTTGGCTCAAAGAAGAGCTCATGCTCGGAGAAAAGTGAAAGGTGTGCCGGACAGGTCCATTCCCGCAATAACCACGTCACTTGCGTTACCTTCCATAAGTGTAGCAGCCAGTGCAGGAGCCGAAAGGTACCAGGAGCCATGAACTGCCTCCTGCGATGTACTCAGCGCATCGCTCGGAGCATCCCAAGCCCGGCGCAGTCTCTGAGCCTCTCTCATGGGAGCCCCCTCACAGCTTCTGTGGCTCGGAAGCCGGGTGGGCGGAGAACCTACTGTCACACTGTCAGTTTAACTACGTTGTACATATTTGAGATATAGCTTTGCACAATATATATATATATGTATATATATATATATATACACGTATGTATATGTGTATCCACATGTGTACCTTTAGATGGCTGTGCCGAAACGACGTCCTATAGGATTCCTTGGCAGTCGGGCAAGCTGAGGCAACCGGCTTCTTCCAGCAGAGCATTCCAGGTCACAGCCATGCAGCGTTGCCTCAGAGCAGTGCCTTCCTGCAGCTGAGGAGTGCAAGGGCATGGCGCCTGGGCTTCTGACTAGCGGGGAGTCCATCTAGCAAGTAGCAGCTATGTTATATCAGAACTTATTTACTGCATCCATATCATTTAGCCTAGAGAATGGCACGGCAGAGAGAGAGAGAGATATCATTTAGCCCTAAGGTGTTCTCAATCGTTTGTCAGGTGTAGCAATAAGGGTGCGCCGCAGTCTTGTCTGTCCCACCTCCCTTGCAATGTCTCAGGTTCGGCTACCCTCCCAAGCTCTCCACCACGCGCTATACCGGAATCCATTGTCATCCGGGCCGACCTTGGGGGTACCCCAACCCCACGAAGCGTCAAGGAAAAGTGCGCCGTCTTCCGAACGTCCAACTGAAGCGCTGCGACTTTAGAGTCTCCGCCTCCAGCGATGGGCAGTTCTACTTGCGGACTCCCTTTCCACCCCGGATCAACCGCACCCTGGACTGCGAGGCGCCTGGCAAGGCCAAGAAGAACCCGTGGCCCACGACCGTGCACAAGGACTACAAGCTCAAGTGGAAGAACATTGAGTATGTCTATGTGCCACAGCTGATGCGGAAGCCCTTTGGAGGCCCCCACCAGCGTTGGGCCGGACCGGTGACACGAATCGAGCACCTCCAGAATGGAAAGATGAAGTCCGAACTTGTAACGCACGACGTCCGGCTCCTGAAGTGGTGATGAAGCATGACTTGCAGCAGTTCATCGGATACCAGGGCAGACTAGTAAAAAGCGGTGCGCTCGCATGCAAGTGCGCATGCCCCTGTCACAAGCAAGCTCAAACTTATGCATTCCAGTTGTTGCGCTTTTGCGCGCAGCGCTTCTGTATAAGGCGTGTCATGCTACTCCCGTAAACCAGTCGAGGATGAGATCCTTCACGACGCAGACTACGTGCAGCACGAAATCGACAAAGTTCGTGCTGAGAAGTGCCATGGCTGCAAGCATCCCGCAACCCCCGAATCTCATGCACAAGCCAGTCACAAGCCCATACAAAAACCAGACGCGCATTTAACTCCGGCTGGGATCCGTTTTGGGGGGTTCAAGATTCCCCCCTCCGCCCTCGCCTCTGGCAAAGAAGCACCGAACCCCAAACCTCACACAAGCACAGAATCGCTCAGACACACGGCCATGCATATACTGCAAACGCAAAGACATGCGGATAGACTGAACAGAGCAAATACCACCTCCTTCACATGACTTCTGTTATCGGATATTCAGAAAATCACTCTTATTGCTCTTGCCCCAAATCCCCTACACTTCTACTACTCTTCTTGCTCTTCGTGTCTCCCAAGTGTAATGGGTTGCCCCACCACCACCCCCCCCCCCCCCCCCCCCGGCTAGGTTCCCCCATAATTGAGGCTTTTTTAGGGATAATTCAGCCTAGTTAAGGTTATCTAAGGGGGGGAACCTACAAGGGGTACCTTCTAGGGATCCCTCCTTATAACCCTGAAAGTGTCTAAACCCTAAACCCTAAACCCTAAACCCCTTAAAGTGTCTTCGAGTTCAGGTCCAAGACGGTCGACGACCGCAACAAGATGGAGGAGATCGCCAGGGCCACGGCGGAGCCTCGGACTCCACTAGGGTTTAGGGTTGGGGTTTGGGGTTTGGGGTTTGGGGTTTAGGGTTTAGGGTTGGGGTTTGGGGTTTGGGGTTTGGGGTTTAGGGGTGACAGCTTTAAGTGGCTGAGCGCTTGACAGGCACACGCCAGCGCCAGAAGCCATCTAATCACGGTGAGATTGACAGGCGAAGCCAGTAGGGAGGCCTGGTGAAAAGTCTTCCCTACCAACAAACCCCCATGCTTAAATCCTAAACCCTAAGCCCTAAACCCTAGCTGTCTAGACACTCCCCGAGGATCGGCTCCGTGCCGACATCCGCGATGCACTGACGACAAAGGCGGACCTGGCAACTGGGCGAAAGTTGAGTCCAGTGTTTGGACGATTGAAGGTGTGTGGGTTTAAGGGTTTAGGGTTTATGGTTTTGAGCTTTGATGAAAGAGGCTGTGGCGGTGCAGGCGCCTCTGCTTAAGACATGAGATGAGTTTAGCCCAGGGGTTTTGGGGTGCTTGCAGCCCTGTCGGTGGTTGCTGAGGGGCTTGGTGTGCCAGACTCCTGTGGTGTGCTGCCCTTGTTCTGTTTGCGTGATGTAACCCCATTAGACAAAAAAGCACACTGCCTCTTTTCTTCGGGTATCTCGCCAGCCGAGTTAAACTCACCGCCCACCAACTGGCGCAGAACACACCAAAAGCTTTGCAAGTATGATCGCTGCGACCAAAGAGCCCTTGGATCCTTCAACCCCGAAACCCTAAAACCCTAAACCCTAAAACCCTAAAACCCTAAAACCCTAAATCTTAAAAGCCCTTAAAGTTGAAAGATTGGCTAGTCGGGTGCCAACAAAAAACCATTAAAGTACAGAAAAGCAGCCCAGGAGACCCAGATCTACAAGACAAAGAGGCCGCGCTTGCTGGGTCTTTGCTGTTGGGAGAAGCTAGGGTCACGACAGTGGCAGGGCTCCACGCCATGGAGATTTCGTACACATGGGGGGGGTTGACCCCCTAAACCCGAAATCCTTTTTCCCGGAGCCCTAAACCTTAAACCCTACAAGCCCTAACCCTTCATAGCGCGGGGTGCCCTGGATGGCCAAGATTTTGAGGCGACAGCAGGAGCAGGAAGAGGAGAACGCTCGACTGAGGACCACTTTCTCGCTGTGGCTCCCCAACCTCGGTCCTTAGGGGTCTAGGGTAGTTACATGGTCCCTTAGTATGGCCCCGTACCTCCTTTAAAGGGTTCAGATGCATGTGCCTCTTAGGTTGTCTAGGGTATTTAAGGGGTATATAAGGATCTCCTTTTCAGGGCCCAGACTAAAGGAACCATGTAACTACTAACTACCCTTTTAGGGTTTAGTGTTTAGGCTTTAGGGCTAGGAGCAGAACTTGAGCTACCCGAACTACCCGGGACTGGTTCTTCAGTGATGTTGGGAAGCCTTGGCTTAAGGCACGCCCTGGACTTCGGCCTTTCCACCAGCTCCCTGAGTTCAGTCGCTGTTGGGCGGATCCGTCCAGCCGACTTCATCAGCATCAGTGCAACAGCACCCAACATGCAATCAGCATTCGGAACTCCGGGTTCCGGAGCCCTCAACCCTCTAGGCCCTAAAGCCTAAACCCTAATAGGCCCCAAACCCTCCACAGAAGAAGGTGCTGCAGGTTTCTCCACGTTTTCGGCCATGGCGGCCCAGCACGCGGCTCCATGCCCACTCTGCGATGGCACCGAGACCGTCGGGCAACCCAGAGCTTCGGATCCGCGGGCCCGGAGGGCTTACACACAAGATACACGTGTATATTCTACTGGTCTGTAGTTGTCTAACTTTGTTCTCTCCTATGTTACAGATATATATATATATACATATATTCTTTACATATCTTGACGTACGTTTTGCAATATTAGCATCTGTCCATAGAGGGAGATAGACATGTAGGATTTGGGGTGCTCTCAGGCTGCACGTGCTCTAATGGCTTCACTCCCTGACTTTGTCGAAGGCACAAATTGAACCCCAAGCACCCCTGACTCCTGAACCCTCCGACACCCAAAGCCTAACGTGACAAGCCGCTTCGGCCTCTTGAAGCCTCCGAAAGCCTCCTAGGCCCCACACTTCTTTTCGAACAAAGGCCCTTGACATCCCTTGACCCTTCAAACCCTTGCTGAAACGCCCCCTCAAAACCTCAACAACCCCGAACAACCCCTAAACCCTGAACCCTAAATCCCCCCAAACCCTAAACCTCAACAACCCCGAACAACCCCTAAACCCTGAACCTAAATCCTAAACCCTAAACCCTAAACCCTAAACCCCAAACCCCAAACCCCAAACCCTAACCTCAGATCGCCCTCCCAGGCCATCTCTCTGGGGCTTCCGTACTCTGCCTCCTGGGCGCACTTCTGGGGCCAGGCGTGGGTTTAGGGTTTTGGGTTTTGGGTTAGGGTTTAGTTAGGGTTTAGGGTTTAGGGTTTAGGGTTTAGGGTTTAGGGTTTAGGGTTTAGGGTTTAGGGTTTAGGGTTTAGGGTTTAGGGTTTAGGGTTTAGGTTTAAGGGTTTAGGGTTTAGGGTTTAGGGTTTAGGGTTTAGGGTTTAGGGTTTAGGGTTTAGGGTTTAGGGTTTAGGGTTTAGGGTTTAGGGTTTAGGTAGGCCCTTGGGATATTTTCTATTTTCCCACTTATCGGCTGTAGGAGGATCATTTTTCAGGAGTCTTTTTCAGAGGGTTTGCAGTTTTAAGGGCCAGCCTAGTCATGAAGCAGCAATGAAGAAGACTGGAGACTGATGTTGAAGAAGAATACTCCGTGAAATGTCCCGCCTATTTTGGCAAAGAGTGTATAGGGCCTGCAAGGGGGGCCCGGATGGAGCACTGGGGCTCCGCGTGTGCCTGCTTGGGAAGGTTTAGGGGAGACTTAGGGTCTAGGGTTTAGGGTTTAGGGTTTACGGTTTACGGTTTAGGGTTCAAAACAGGGTTTAGGGCTGAATTTTGATGTGTTCCGGCGCGCGCGCGCGCGCGCGCGCGCGCGCCTTTGGCCAGTGTGGCTTGCCTTTCGCGGATGGACGTTCCGCGATGGGGAAGGTCATGCAGAAGATAGGGGCTGCCTACAGCCTTAGGGTTTAGGGTTTAAATTAGGGTTTCGGGTTCAGGGTGTAGGGTCTATAGGGTTTAGGGTTTACTGGGTTTAGTGTTTAGGGTTTAGGGGCCTTCGGGCGTCCCACTGGTATGAACCCGAAACCCGCAATCTCCACACTTGGCTGCCAGGCCGAGCAGACGACCAGAGCACTTCCACCGATTCTGACCGCGCCTGGACTTCGATGGGTTTAGGGTTTAGGGTTTAGGGTTTAGGGTTTAGGGTTTAGGGTTGGTTTATAGGGTTTAGGGTTGCCACAAAGCAGGATTCACCGCACCAACGTTTGGGGCTTCGAGGGAAGGATACCCTCCCTACACCCTATGGAAGTCAGCATCACCTCCCTTCTAGGCCTGCTATCAGAGGTAGGTTTGAACATAATTGTTGATTTTCAATGCCCTTAATGCCGTGTGTAATCCTTATGAAGCCATAAAAGTTTAATTTTGATAAGGCCTCCAAACCTACCCCTGCTATCGCGTGCCGCGACCCAGGATTCTGTGACCGCTGGGGGCCATGCGGTGCGCAATCCGCAGGTGCCGGCTGCAGCTTCGAGGCGGGTTACCAGGTTTAGTTTAGGGGTTTAGGGTTTAGGGTTTAGGGTTTTAGGGCCGCCTCAAGAGAGGCACCCCAAAGTGAGGGTTCCTTGTGAAGAAAGAGCCCAATAGTTTGGGATGTTCCCCCTTGTACTAACAGTCCTTAATGGGGATTATGGTACCCTCTATTTATAATCCCCATGAAGGGCTGAGGGTTGAGGGTTGAGGGTTTAGCGGGTGGGACAGCAAACGCAGCTTTGGGAGATCATTCCTTCCAGTGTCGTGTCTCCATGAACCCCCCACTTTCCCGCACACGCTGTAAAGTGGTTATTAGGAGGGGCTGTTAAGTAGGATGATGGGGTCTCTCAGGGTTGTTCTAACTAACTCTAGTTTGTGTATCTTCTTTGCTGAGCCGCCCGGTCCTCCAAGTACGGCGATAGGCCTTGAGGCTTACAATGCAGGGCTATTCAATACGAATGTTTTTGTTTGAGAGGGGGGGGGGGGGGTTACCCTAAACCCTAAACCCTAAACCCTAAACCCGTGTGAGTATTCCTGGGTTACGGAGGCTCCTGTATCATGCACCAGCGCCCTGAGCCCTCCCTCCTTTCCCGAACAGCAAAACCCCGAAGCCCCAAACATTTAAAAAGGCGCAGCTGTGCTTACAGTATGAAAGTATGAGAACAGAATATAGATACATATACAAGACAAATGCATAAGTTTAAATACTTGATATATATATATATATATGTATGTATATGTATATGTATATGCATATGTATACATACATATAATGCGACCGACATGTTCGGGTACTTGTTATGATCTATTTCCTGTGTGTTGGTGTGCATGTGATGGCGGGGTGGAAGCCCCCCCCTTGAAGCCCAGGACTGGCTACAAGCGAAGGAGGAGGCAGAGGCCCACCTGGTAGAGACACTCAGGTTTAGGGTTTAGGGTTTAGGGTTTCGGGTTTAGGGTTTAGGGTTCAGGGTTCAGGGTTTAGGGTTCAGGGCTTAGGGCTTATTTGACCCCGCGAGCTCTGCCGGGTTTAGGGTTTTGCCTTTAGGGTTGCAACTCCCAAGGTCTCAGATGTCCTAAGAATGGCTCAATTCTACAGAAAGAAGTTCAAAGGTGCTCTCTAAATTAGGACCCTTTTTTGGGTCATGTGTGTGTATATATATACATACGTAGGTCGGCAACCGAAAGAAAAACCCGACAAGGGACCCATATCTAGAGAACTACCCAGTTCTTGCTCTCGCAGGGTGGAGTTCTAGGCTGTTTTGAGGGTTTAGGGTTTAGGGTTTAGGGTTTAGGGCAGGGTCTCGGTGAGTAAGAACCCCCCTACAAAGGCTCCAAACAGCACCGGCGACATGGGGGCGGCCCGCGAGTGCCTGAAGGCCCGACTTCTGGGGTTTAGGGGTTTAGGGTTTAGGGTTTAGGGTTTAGGGTTTAGGGTTTAGGGTCAGGCGGGTTGAACAATTGAACAATCTGTTGGTTTGGGGTTTAGGGCTTAGTTCTTTTTAGATTCCCTTTGTGGCCAAAGGGAGTTTATTCTTTAGTGGGGCCCCAAACATCTCACCCCCGAAATCGCGTGTTTCCAAAGAAAAGAGCAAGCAATGGTGAGGTACTCCTACTTCAGGAGATGCCCACATGCAGAGGCAGGTTTAGGGGTTTAGGGTTTAGGGTTTAGGGTTTAGTTAAGGGTCTACACCCTAAAAACCTAAGCCCAGGAGTTGCTCAGACATCAGAGGCAGCGCCGGGTAAACCCTTTGTGGGCTTCATCGTCCAGCATGTAGGGTTTAGGGTTTAGGGTTTAGGGTTTAGGGTTTAGGGTTTAGGGTTTAGGGTTTAGGGTTTAGGGTTTAGGGTTTGGGACCCTGTGCCAGCAGGACGCTTATGGCTGCGTCATCCTCGCCGTGGACGAGCTTGCAGAGGCAAAAGCACCACGGTAAGGCCAAACCCCAAACCTCAAACCTTTGCCCTGCATGAGCCCTCGCAGTTCGGCATTTGACTCCTTGGATTTATCCATCAGCTACTACTGCAAAACATGTTCGTTCTGGTTCTTAGTAGGGAATGAGGGAATCACTCTATATAATCCCTTAAAGGGTATACATATATGTAGTTATAGGGGCATATAGGGTACCTCACTCCCTCGTAAGAACCAGCCAGTTCTTCTTGCCTAAACCCTAAACCCTAAACCCTAAACCCTAAACCCACTGAAGCGAATTTGCCTCACAAGGGCTGCCGCCCTGGCGTCCTCCGCGTGCTGCTGGCAGGGCTGGATTTCCGCCTCCGGCACTGTGAGCAGGCTTTGGAGTGCCGCCCGGATCGCTCTTGGCTGAAGGGCTGCTGGTTGCATTCTTTAATATTATATATATACATATATATATATATTGCCAAAAAAAATTATATATATATATACAAATAATCGTAATAATTATAAGAAGTACAATGATCATTCTAAGGACTGTTGAGATATGGAGGTTGGTTGAAAAGGGAGTTGCAAAGATTGTCTCGGTCCGCAGATTGACCAAGGAGTCTAGGGTGTGGGCTTCAGGAGGAAGACGCTTCATTTAGCCGGAGGTGGTGGGGAATTTCCCTAAACCCTAAACCCGAGAACTCGAAAGCCTTTGAAGCCCCTGCTGTCCCGGAGGTGTTCTGGAGGTGGAGCACGGCTACTCCCGGGTGCAAGCCCTCTGGCCTCGAGCGGGAGTCCCACAGCACTGGGGGCGGAGGTGCATGGAGGGCACTGAGGAAACCTGTGAACATGGAGCCGAAGGGAACGCATTACGGCATCATAAGAAGGAAGATTGTTTTCGCAATTATTCCGACCATTAGACTCCATGCTGCCTGAAGCCGCAGTGCTGCAATCTACATACCTGCATCGTGAGACCCTGAACAAACCTCCTTTTTGCACGCTAGCACAAACTGAGTCGCGGGGGGCCCTCTGCCAATATGGGTGCATGCGCGAAGTCATCTGCTACAGTCACTGGCCAAGGATGTATGTTTACGCTGTAGCCATCGTGTGTGAAACGCGCTTCTCCCTGGAACGATACTGGATCTCATTGCTAAACTCATACTCGAGTGGGCCTGAGGCAGCCAAGTTCAGGGATGTGCGCAAGTGCGACTGCACCCCGCTCACACGAAATTCCAATTAAAATTCCAACTAAATCTGGCTTGGAGCGGGCAGGTGGTCGCTTCAGTGGTGGCGTCGGAAGGCGCGAGAGAATTTGGGGGGGGGGGGGGTTAGTCGTTGCAATTCCGGCCCGCAACTCCTAAGAGAGCTCTTGCTTCAAGCTTGAGTCCCTTGCAAATTTCGGAGTCAACAGAGGTTCGGGTCTTATGATGCGACCAGATCTCAACCAAGTTGACAACAGGGCCCGGCATTCTGAAGGGTCCTATAGGGTTCAGGAAATCAGTGGATTGTGTGTTCCGACTCATGTTGCCAGATTTCAGGAGAGGTGCCAAAAACAAACCAATAAGAAAGAGTTGTGGGATGCGCAGTTGCTTTGGTTTTAGCTTTCTTGGTTTTTCTTCCTATATTCTCAGGTTGGAGACTCCAATCCCAGTAGCCTTGATCCGACCAACCGACACGACTAAAACTCCAAAAGTCCTACTCCTACGTGAGAAACAAAGCTTCGTAGCCCCCTAAAGTAAATCCGTGAGACAGCCATTCCTGAAGCGCCAACCACAAGCCTGAGACCCCTAACGGCACCAAGCAACAGCGAGCCTCACGGCTGCGGACGCGCGCGCGGTGGCGTGTGTAAGCCAGAACCTCATACAAGCTACCGAGAGCACCGATCGATACTCAAGGGTGTAGGAGTATGCACAAAGGTTTGGCGTTTCTTGCACTTCTGGGTTCGTTTACCAAGCAGGTGGATGTGATGTTTGACCGCGAAGATGGAATCCGGGCTCTACGGGGCGTCTGCGTGAAATGGCTGTACCTCAGCAGCACCCTAAACCCTAGACCCTAAACCCATGTCGGCTTGTCGGGCTTGGGTCTTCAGCGGGGTCTCATTGGCCTGTCTCGTGGTGCCATGGATCAGAAACCCAAAGCCCCAAGCCCCCTGTTTGGAACCCAGCTGGCACGACAGAGTCCCCCAAGGAGCCAAAGCTAATGAGATGCACTCAAAGCACGATCGACCTCAATCAAGTCCTCCAAACCTTAACCCTGAACCCCCTGCACCCCCCAGTCGCAGGAGTTCGGCAGCCACCAACCGTGTGAAGCTTCCGTGGATAGGACAGCTCGTGGCTTCGGAGTATAAACGAGGTTTAGGGTTTAGGGCTTAGATAAGCCAGGCGCCTTCAGAGCTCCAAGAGCACACCCAGTGAAAGGCAGGTTTGGAGTTAGGGTAGCGCAGCAACACGGGTTGCCCGTAGAGGCATTCAACTCTAGAATGGCTAAACCCTAAACCCTAAACCCTAAACCCTAAACCCTAAACCCTAAACCCTAGACTGGTGGAAGGCTACGACTTCAAAAAACGGATGCTGCCAATCAGACACCGGCTACGACGTCAAAACGTCCGCTGCCGCTGCCAGTCAGACAGCAGCGAAGGAGCAGCATCCGCCTGAGAAGACGCCCCAACCGCGGAAGAAGAAAAACCCAAGCAAGAAAAATGAGGTTATGGCACGGAGTGGCAACTGGCAACCTCCCCCGAGGGCCGATGCCCTCACAGCTCACAGCCGAGTACTGAATACACGGGGACTGAATTCGTTTCGAATTTGCAACTGAATCTTATATGCATGTTCCAACTAACTCGCATGCCATGACTTTGCCTATATGACTAAGCCACATTGGACTTGATTGTGGCTTGCAGTGTGAGTATACATACACAGCTGCATCTGCAAGAGTAGTAGCACAGCCTGGAATCAGACAGAATAGGAGGAGTGTTTGAGTACAGGTGACACAGAGAGTGACTGAGAGAACTCACCTGAGTACGCGCTCCGCGGAATCCCCTCCCCTTCCCCCAGCGATCATGATGTTCCAGCAGCTCTCCATGTACCAGCAGTTGCGTATACATTGCTTTGCACCGCCTATTACCACCTGGGAAGACGCAGGGCGTATAGCTAAAGAGATGTTATGGGATGGGCAGAGACAATTATGAGTTCAGCAAGAATGGAGGAAGTTTGTGGATAGAGGTTCATGCACAAGCAACATGAGAAGCCGCCGGGCCAACAGGGGGGGAGGGCTGTGGTGTGGTCGACGACGTGGATGAAGATGGTCCGTTGGGTTGGGGACGGGCGGGGTCGCCTGAAATGCAAAGCATGTGACCTACTGGATCCCTTCACTCCTGCACAGCAGACTGAGGCTGGCAAGGCATGTGTTCCAGTACTTGGGCGCCTCTCAGACTGCATGGTGCATGCAAAGTTTTTGCTGCATGCTCTGTCCTTGTAAGGTTGTGGACTTGCAGATGTTCCGCAGCAGTTACAGAGCTCCGTCGAGCTACCAGGTCCGCAAGCTGCGACACATGCACCTGTCACATTACTGTGTTCGCTCATCCAAGGCCTTCCTCTCTCACCTGCTTGAGGTCGTCGATCTTAGCAGGCTTGGAGTTGTGCAAGATGGGATGATGGGACCTCTTGTGCAGCTGCAACGCTGAGGGCACGTTGCTGCCAGGCCACCTGCTTATGTGTTGGTTTTTCAACGATCACGGGGAGTTCCTCCCAGCAACGAACTGGAGGCCAAGCTTGCTGATGGCCACGAGGAGGCATGTGATGATCTCGTTGTGCCCAGTTTGGGCGGTTTCGGCTTAGGCATGAACGTGCTCTGTGTCAGCACGCCGAACACCTTCGAGAAGCACCCAAGCATCGCCACAGAGATTGTCGGTCGTCTGCAAGATTTTCCAGACCAGTATCCGGGCCCAGCAGGTTCCGTGGCTAGTCGTTTCGGGTTGTTGACAATCGCCGGGAAGAACGCTTGCAGACAATTTCATGAAATGCTGGCCTTGCACATGGTCCATGGGACAGCTAGAGCACGAGGATTGATGGGGCTGTCGTCTCTTCAATGGCCAGACTGTGCCTAGGAAATCTTCGATCTCTGGATCTGTGCCAGAGACCGCAGTCGCGTTGTCTAGCAACGTTGCCCCCGCATCGTTGGAAAACCTTGCCTCATACGAGCAGCAGAAAATCCGCGCGTCGCCTTCGTCCGGATGATAAGCCACCCAGGCCACGACCGGCGCATGTGGGCCGGGCTGACTGCGTCATGGTGGGCGCACGGCCGCGTCCGGCGGTCCCATGTGGCCAATCGTCCAATCATCAAGATCCCCCAGAAGACAGAAGCTGTGTTGCGGTGGCACCCGCGCAAACCCCGACAAAGGTGTCGGAGTCTAAGATGTGCGATGAGATCCAAGAAAAAATCCGTTGAGCGCCAGACATAAACAGGCAAGGTGGTGGAGATTCACAACCCTGGCTAAACTCTATGCCCCGCAGGGCTTGACTCAGATTCTTAGAAGCGTCCACGTTGGCTGTCTGAATTTCACGCTGCCAGCTTCTAGGCGAGTTTGAGCATGGCTACTGTGACTGTAGAGAGCCTGGTGGAACCTGAAGAATGCCTGCGATTGCTCTTCAATGTGCAAGAGAAGTGGAACTTGGGGTTCTCGATTCTTCTATGCGTCCCATGACACTGACGTTAACTCTGGGGTCCCAATTGACTCAAGATTTGGAGATCTAATGCCGCGACTGCGCAGTTCGTTCTATGCTCGCGAAACATCAGGACTGCGCACAGTGGAGCTGTGATTTGCGCTTGATGTCTGAGATCCCACGTGCCGGTGTCCATCAAGCACGTGTGTGTGTGCGTGAGGACCACCTCTCATTCCTGAACTCAGTCAGGCGGTTTTGGCGCTCGTGAAGCAAGTCACGGAAAACCGAGAGCGAATTTGCGCTCTTTGTGCCGAAGCTCTGGGCATGACGGCTTCCCATCTTCTGAGGCTGCGCATCAACGCAGTGCAACTGCCCAGCTTTGATGACGGCGTGATTTTGGCGGTGCTTCTAAAAGCAGTGGAAGTCCACGTTGCTTTGCGCCCCACTTCCACAATGATTTCATTTAAGTAGAATGCTCGCGCAGCCAGACCCGGGCACCATGTGGGCCATGATCAAGTGTCAGCTTTATCCCACAACTTACCAGCCCCGCCTTCATTGCGAGTACTATTTAATTTACGCGCACCATTTGTAAAAGTAAATGAAACAGGAAACACAACAATAACAGATACAATAAATAGCGCTGTTATTGGCGCTGGTGGAATTTCACAAACAGATTTAGACAATGCCATAGTACCATTAATTACAAAGGCTGGGGCACACGATGTAGCAACACAAACAAATGTAGATAGTACAGCAGTTCTAAATACAAAGCAACTTCAAAACTTCAATAATATAAATGCTATAAATACAGACTTAACAACAAATTATCAAACTAACGCACAAGTAGCAACGAATTTCTAGAACAGAACAGAATGGGATAAACATTTATCAACTAACTTCCAGACAAATTCACAATTGGCAACGAATTTTTACAATAAAACAGAAATAGATACAACATTTGGTAATTATTATGCTTCTACTGTAATAGATCATGGGTTTTATACACACACAAATTAACACTAATTACTACAAGAAAACAGAAACATATAACAAAACAGAGACAGGCAATTTAATGGATAATTTAGCAGTGTATAGTCAAACAGAAGTAGATGCTTTTGTATCATAGAAAGAAGACCCGAGATCCTAAACCCCTAACCCTAAACCCTAAACCCTAAACCCTAAACCCTAAACCCTAAACCCTAAACCCTAAACCCTAAACAACCCTAAACCCTGAACCCTAAACCGTAAACCCTAAACCCTAAACCCTAAACCGTAAAAACCCTACACCCAAAAAACCCGATAAGCCCTAAAAACCCTGTAAACCCTGTAAACCCTAAAAGCCCGAAACCCTGAAAACGCTAAACCCTAAAAACCCTAAACCCGAAACCCTAAACCCTAGCCCTAAACCCTAAACCTAAGAGTTGCTTCTCTTCCTCCAGAGGAGAAGCCAAGATCCAGGAGCGCGCCCACAAGGACTGCAAGAGAACGGCGTCCATGCTGGGGGTCTCCGAAATTAGGCGTACCTTGTTGGGGTTTAGGGTTTAGGGTTAGGGGTATTGGGGTCCATATTAGAAAGGAATCCTACTATTTGGGGTTTGTATTGGGGTCCCTTATTTTCGCGCAAACTTGTAACTCGCTTTCGCAGGTACCTTACAAAGTCAGTTCCTGAAAGCCTTTGAATCCGAACCTCCTTAAACCCCAACCTAAATACCCTAAATCCCCCGCAAAAAGAACCCTAATATCCGTCAGTCCCCCCCCCAGGAACCTTAAGAAACCCTAAATCCCCATCAACAGGAGGAACCTTACTATACCCTAAACCCCCCAAAAAAGGAACCTTAACATACCCTAAATAGGGGACCTTAACATACCCTAAATCCCCCCCGGAAAAGGAACCTTGAACTTTGGAAGAATGCCCAATTCGCTCAGTTGCGATCTTGCGACTGCAAGGCCTACATCTTCATCTCCCTAAACCCTCAGAACTCCAGAATCTGTAAGCCCTGAGACCGCCCGTTCTGTCAACTTGGCCCACGGTGCTACGAGATCAGCCTGGCAGATGGCAAAATCACGGGTTTAGGGTTTAGGGTTTAGGGTTTACGGTTTATGGTTTAAGGTTTAGGGTTTAGGGTTGAAGATATAGGGTTTAGGGTTTAAGGTTTAGGGTTTAGGGTTTAAGGTATAGGGTTGAGGGTTTAGGGCTTAGGGTCGGAACACAGTGAGGAGTGGCTTCCCAGCTGGATCAGCGCGGCTGCGCGTCAACAGGTCCTCTGGCTGCCAAAAGACGACGGGGCTGGATGCCGTGCCAGATTAAGGTTTATAGGGTTGATAGGGCTTGTAACCCTAAACACTAGGTCCCTAAACCCTAAACCCTAAACCCTAAACCCTAATCACTAGGTGGTGTGCCGTGGGTATCCATCCTGTCCTTCAGTCCATGCAGCCATTTGTGTGATGGATTGTCGTTGGGCTTGGAGTTTGGTTCTTCCTCTTCGCCTCACAACACATCCTTTTGTTGGTGGTACTTGTACCTAGCGAAAGCCGCATGGGCCTTTTGAACTCTTGAAGAGGTACCCGCCTGGGTGATCTGCGCGATGGCATCCACCAGCCAGCTGGCACAAGATCTGTGGGTGCAACCCTCAGACACCCTAAACTGCAAACACTTTCGTAGGCGGGCTTACGAAAAAAAGTGACCCCGAATATAGTCCGCCAAATAGTAGGACTCCCTTATAATGAGGACCCCGATAAGGTACCCCTTATTTCGGAGCCGCCACATGCTGGTCCCTGGACATTCATGAGATCCCTAAGCGTTATAACTTCGCTAAAGAGTTCACTCGACAGTCAACCGTTTCCCTTAGCAGGACGCCCAAGTCTGTAGGCCCGAACCCTTTTCCTACATTTTGTGAACGTTTGTTTTGGAAACTTAAACCCTAAAGCCTATTCCTGGTTTGATGTTTAGCCCTAATCAACACTTACTCCCAAGCATTATTTGTTTCATGTTTGGGCCTCAGATCCACCCTAAACCCCAAATCTATAGAACCCTAGATAGCTCCCAGCGCCAAATGGCCCCAAAAAGGTGCTGAGCCGCTTGGGGCATGCCTGGAGCCCAGCTGATGGCCACAGAGAGCTTCTAAGGGTTCATTAGGGTTTTTGGGGGTGTAG